TTTCTGTCATTTGGCATATAAGTAGCTACATGTAAGTGTTACAAATGTATTAAAAAAAAAAAAAAAAAAAAAAAAAAAAAAAAAAAAAAAAAAAAAAAAAAAAAAAAAAAAAAAAAAAAAAAAAAAAAAAAAAAAAAAAAAAAAAAAAAAAAAAAAAAAAAAAAAAAAAAAAAAAAAAAAAAAAAAAAAAAAAAAAAAAAAAAAAAAAAAAAAAAAAAAAAAAAAAAAAAAAAAAAAAAAAAAAAAAAAAAAAAAAAAAAAAAAAAAAAAAAAAAAAAAAAAAAAAAAAAAAAAAAAAAAAAAAAAAAAAAAAAAAAATCTGTGTAATGAGTCTCACCACCTCTTAACCAGAAGAGCTTTCTGTTTGGAAGGAAAATAGAACAACATCTAGAGCTGAACAAAGAAATGCAAGCACCTGTACTTTTGAAATCACTTGTGAATTTACTCCGTAAGTTAGTTTGCATTTTCATTCTCTTGGAAATGAGATGGGAAAAGAAGCCTAGTTACCAGCAAGGTGGTATGCGACTTAAATACGTAGCACAATTCTGTGTCTTGCAATAGGAGACAGCACTTGGTAATGTGGGAAGGTCAGTTGCATTGCACAGTATTTAATTTATGCCAAGTGGAAAGTACTTTCATTTTTATAGTACCTTGAAATTTAACAACACTCTGGGGTAGAGAACCCTGCAGTTAAAAGACACCATTGCTTTTTCAAAAGAAACCACTGACAAAACAAAAAGGCACCGCTTTGCATTTAAAGGGTACCAAAGAATTTAAGAAAAAAACAAACCCTTTGTTTAATGAAGTTCAGGCTGAATTATCCTTATAGGTTAGCAACAATTTTCTATGCCCCTCTCAGCAGTCAAAAGAATTGCTATTGCGTTGGTTATGAGAAATCCCAGTAGCCATTCATAGCTTGGTACTGAGGGAATTTGGTCCAAGTCTCAGATGCAGTATGTCAAAATGGCATTTTTTTCTACCTCTGAAATGATCTTCCAGTAAGTTTTTATTCCCTCAATCCCTCCCCTCTCCAAAAGGCTTTCATCATGTAACTTGCATTGCATAAAGCTTCTGCAATGCTTCTCATCCAGAGGGAGTTATTATAATGTTATGTATATTTAACCAACATCTGTCTTGGATTAAAAAAAATAAAAATCCTTGAAGCTGAAGTGCAAATACACTGAAGAAGCAGGACTTTGCTCCTGCATGGTGGTCTTGTTGTTTGAAACAGAGCAAGAGTAATGCTGCAAACTATCACTAGTAACAAACTTGGAATTACCCATGGGATCTTAACCTAGAACTATGCAAGGGAGGTAAGGTGGTAGAGATTTTCTTCTATCAAGTTAGTCAAACACTTCTGAACCAGCTACCACTTTGCTGCAGAAAAAAAAACCCAAAACCACTCTTAATTTTCATCAAAATAAAAACATTTTTGATTCCGTGCTATTTTATGTATACTTGTGTGTATGAGAAGTGTCTGGAAAAGTAGCAGGGGAGGCTCTTGCAGAGGTAGTGAGTACAGATACTAGCTTCTTGTAATGATTCATGGCAAAGAAATGACAATTACCTCACAAAATCGTAAATAGTCCTTAGACATACAGTCAATACCTGGATCAGCGTGTCAATATCTACCAGCTCCCATTAGCTGCTGCTAAGTGTTACTGAGTTGTAGTAAGAGTGGAAGAGCAATTGAAAACCACAAAACTCCCAAAACATCAAGCTGTGCATGCTGTATCAGAGTGGTCTGAAGCTGGAAATAAGTTGCATAATTTATTTTTAAATAAGCATAGTACTTCCTATGGAGGCCCACTGCTGAGGCAATTGCTTTTCCATGGCTTAGTCATCCAGCATTAAATGAGGTGCCTGCAAGATATGTTTTGACAGGTGTTGCTGAGCTGTTTAGTTGAGGCAGTTTCAAGTCATGTCCACTATTTGCTTTTAGTCATTCTGGAATGGAAATTTTCTACTGAACTACTTAGTATAGCACAACCAGGAATAACTGCTTTATGCTCACAATATTCAGAGGTGCAAAAGCAATTAAATATCCAGAGCACGCGAATAACTAACTGGCAAGAATGGACAAAGACGCAGATCTTCAAACCTTCCTGAGGTATAGGGGCCATGATCTAATGGAGATAGTTCATCCCTGTTTACAGAACAGATTTTTTTTTCCCCACGTGCAGTAATACTCTCTTTGCGCACATGCCTTGTGATTGTTGCCTTTCCAGAAAGTGAGCTATATTACTCAAGCTCTTGAATAAGGCCTCAAAGTGAATTAGTAAAGCCTACGCTTTAAATTAGTAAAGCAGAAAGAATTTAAATGGCTGAAATGCTGAGCAAACTTTGGCACAAATACTTCTAGTTTTACAGCTCATTCCAATAGAGCAACCTGCTAAACAGCAATGAAGAAAGAAGTCTTGGCCTCAGTGCCTACAAGAATTGAACCAACCTGTTAAGGAACACTGGCTTCCGATTTCCCCAGATTATGCTGGAATTTAGTGAAACGGATTAAAGTGAGAATCTTCTGCCAAGTCACAGCAAGCGTGAGAGACTAATGGGGGAAGATGTGTCTTTTCAGTCAAAAGGGTTAGAAGATGGTAGTTCAGATACTGAGAGGCTGTGAGGATAAGGAGGATGATACACCACTGAATCTGGCAGTATATTCCGAGTACATATGAGAAGAGTACTTATTTATGTCATTAAGTTAATTATCAAAGAGTATGTGTGATTTCTTGAAGCATTTGAAGTTCCCCCCCCCCCCCCCCCCACCCACCCAC